CTCTCTCTCTCTCTCTCTCTCTCTCTCTCTCTCTCTCATATGTAGCCTTTCTGTCCCAACTTCCTAAGTAGCTGGAGTCACAGGCATGCAGCACAATGCTTGGCTCAAGTGCTTTTTATTTTTTATCTCAGCACTTATTACAATATCCCCTCTTGTTAAGCTTAGGGATCTCTGAAAACAAAGCATGTCAGGGTTGTGGAGAAGGGTCCTGAGGTTGGGGGAAGCTGCCTTCACTGCCTGCCTGCACTTCTCTTATTTTCTTATTTTCTACTTTCTTTTGCTTCTATAGCAACATTATATTACAAACTAATTGCCTCAAGGGCCCATATGGTAAGGCAAACATTTAAGTAAAAGGCATAATAACTGGAGGCAGAAAGGCTTATTTTCATTACTGCATATATAATCAAAAATACATGTCATGCGAGAGCACATAAGAATATAAATGGTAAAGAACCTGCCTTGAGTAACAAAACACTTTATTAAGAAAGAATTATTGCGTGTCAAGAGGTTTGTGTCCACCAATGCCACATTAGCAGTCCTCATCTATTTCACAAAAGCAAGGAGGCATGGGATCTGCATACATTTTAAATTCATCACAGGGATCAATGATGGGACAAGAGTCAGTCGTGGTGGTCTCAGCCCGGAAGGCCTTGTTCTTGTTGATGGCTAAATTAGTCTCAGGATCAGGTTGTTTTGCAGCTCTTAAGAAAAGACATACACAAAACATGGGCTTAGAAGTTTTCTTTTTCAGTGCACGTTTAAACAACTGTCAGGGCACTCTGGGAAGCTCAAGGCTACAGCCAACCACACATGTGACATGAGTCCTGGATTAAAGCTCTCCGCCCCTGTGCTGAGTTCCTCTCTCATCCCTTTCTCTCCTATAACTTCTGCACATGTAAACCCAGGCTGCAAAAGTAAGAGAGAGAATGAATCGCAAGTTTGGATCACCCACAGGATTGCTGTAGGAATATGGGGAAGGGACCCTACTATGTAATTCCTTAGACTGGTGTGGGGGACACACCACAGAGGCTGACAGCTAGTTTCTCCCATACTTAAGGAGCCTCTCTCCAAACTTGCCTGACCCACATCTCCTTGTAAGCTGTCTTCTATAGAGTCTTTGTCCTGTAGGCCCATCTCACTGTCCCCAAGGCCACAGGGAATGAATGGGGGAACATGCCTAGGAGCTCCTGAGCTGGGTGAGAGGAAGTCAAGTGTGGCCTGTCCCAAGCTCTTTCCCACAGCTGACCTGGGGTTGTCCCATTTCCAACACCTGGAACTAAGAGAAATTCTACCAAAGGACTAATAAATATCTGAAGGTAAACCCAGTGATGTCAAGTGACACCAAGTGGGTGCTGACACACACAGCCTCAGGGCTGCACATATTCTACTTCCCAGCTCAGAGCCCCGAGCCAGAAGGGAAAACCTCTTAAGATTCTGTACTGCCCTGCCTTTGCCTCTTCAAACCTGCCTGTGGTTCTTGACCTCACCTGTGGTGTAGCTTCAGCAACAAGCAATGACCCTGCTCAAGCAGAGCACCAGGTGTCCCACTTGAGGGGACACTGTTCACCCTTGTCCCCATGACTCACCTCAGCACACTGGTGACTTTGAAGAGAAGACTGGTGGTAACAGCCATCAGTACAGCTGCAACAAGCAGTAAGCTACCACCAACAGTGATGAGAGTCTTCATAGTGAGGTCAGGCATCTTCTACACCTTGGCAGAGAAGTGCAGGCAGGCAGTGAAGGCGGCTTCCCCCAACCTCACGACCCTTCTCCACAACCCTGACATGCTTTGTTTTCAGAGATCCCTAAGCTGGCCCAGGATGAGTAAAGAGCTTTATTTCTATATATAAGTGGACTGAGATACAAATCTACCAAAAGAATCTTTCACAGGCAGTGGTATGTCCTTAAATAATGCAGTATTGCCAGTGATTTTACTCCTACCACGTGTATGTCTTGAGCTATGCTCATGCTCAGAGTTAGAACTGACCCTTAACTGCACAGTAGGTTTAAAAATATTTTATGGAAGAGGACTTTTTTTTTTTCAAAATCTTACTGTTATACAACATCAAGGATGCAAACCTACTTTGTAAGATGTAAGTATTTTAGAGGAAAAAGTTTTCAGTTCTCCCACTGACAACTCGATCAGGCCAGTTCAGGGTTAAGGGGATTCTAGAAGCTTCTAGCCAACACCCCCTGTCCTCGCTGAGATGGGAAGTGGACTACACAGACCAGGGACCAGAGTCTTCAGGAGCTTCTTGTCCCTCACTGTTTCTGTGGGCCATGGGTCATCCCGCTAAATACACTGTCCCAGAAAATCAGATCTGTCTGGAATAAGCAATTTGTTCAATTTCACACACTGAAACTGTGGAGCAGTGAACCAGGCAAGGAGAAACTGTCTGCCAAGTATACTTACTGCTGCTAAATCATCCAGAGCTGGGTTAAGAACAACTGTGGAAAGAAGAGAAAACGTTAGGGTACGGGGTATTTTGTCAGGAATTTCTCAAACCTGTACTCGAGTAAGAGAATCTGATCTTCTCTGTTAGGAACAATTATTGGTTAAAGAGTTTGTATTTGGAAGAGCAGTGTTCCGCTAGAATCAGAATCTTTCAGCTCAGCCCTACACTGATGACAGTCTGTTATGACATCAACCAGCTCCTTTCACTGAATTCTGTTCCATCAGTAGGTAGATTTTAACTGCCATGAAATGTATTTTTTTTTTTTTGAGACAGGGTCTCACTATGTAGTCCAGTTCAGGGTGACCTTGAACTCACTGTGAAATCGAGTCTCACTCCAAATTTGTGGCAAGCCTCCTGCTTCAGCCTCCCAAGTGTTGAAATTGTAGGAATGCACTACCATGCCTGGCTATAAATACTATTGGGAATCACTGAATTCTATGTCTTTAACATTTGCATGGGTTGACTGTTAATTAAAAGTAGGTTTCAGATTTTAACTGTAAAAATAAAAAAAAATGGATGCTAAAAACATCTTTGGAGTTAAATTGTCAGTTACAGAAGACTGGCTAGATGGAACGTTCAGTTATCCAATGAAATAATATGGAGCCATTTACGAGGGTTTAAGCACATGTTCACTGACATGTTCACTGGCAGACTTTCATACTTTATAGCTAAAAGGGTTATAGAAATGAAAGTTAAAGAAGATACCTGATTTAGCCAGGATTTTAAGGAAGTTCAGTAACTGGATTTACCACGGTGAAGCAGAAATCCTGACCTAATCATGGCCATTTTGTTAATAAAGTTGCAGTCATCCTGTTCTCAGCCACTGGACTCAGCTAAATTACAGGATTTATAATCAAATTAAAGCTTTTGTGAATGTGCTAAAAATTTTTTTTTGCTCCATACAGCTATGGTCACCATAAGATATCCATTGTACGGTGGCCTTCAGCAAAAGTGTATCTTGCTCTTGTAACTTCTGTTCACCAACTTATAAAAAGAAACTTTCTGTAAACCTCATCTCAGACTCTGGAGATTATTCCTCTGGAGTCCACGAGTGTCAGTAAAATTTCATCTCCTGAGTTCCTGACTACTAATGATTCAACATTTCCAGCAACAATAGTACAAGTAAGTGGGAGATTCCAGGGGCGGACAAGATGGTATGGACTGTTCTTACCTGTTTTGTCTTGAGAAAACCTGTTAGTGAAGTAGAACTTTGTTCATAAATAAACAAACATTACATAAATTAGTTCTCATGTTACAGAACTAAATTCACAAAGTGTTAACAGTATAAAATATTCCTTTTCATAAAAATAAATACCTTCAACAAATATTAGCAGAAAATATTTCATTTATTCTGGACAAGTAGTTTCCAGAGTGGTTGCATTCATTTTTACATGCAAATATATCATCCTTCAACACATACACAATAGTATGAAAATCAATTCTTCCCAAGAGAAATTCAATTTTCATGATTTGTATACTTTAATCACTCAATGTGGATTCTTAGCGCATCACGTCTGATATTTAACAGGAAAGGCTTAGAAAGAAGGCTCTGTCAGGCCAGGAGACCTCCTTATACATTCTGGGGTTACTGAGGTAAAAGGAGATGACTTCTCCCACTCTACATCAAATGCTAACTCTGATGTAACAATTCTAACAAAGAATTGGGCCAATTCTGATTTTTCTATCTCCTGCAACATTGTGATAGAACATAAACTTAATGGTCCAAATATAAAATAATCATATCTATATTAAAAACCTAAAATAAACAATATAAAATATAAACGTGATCTGAAGTTAAAGCTTCCAGGTTAAAACATCAAGAAGCAGCCTTTATTATTTTTTTTATAATTTTATTGATAAACAGATAGCAATGAGACAGTTTCAAATCAAATCGGTAGTACAGTTTCAATAACTAGCACACTGCATATATTCTTCTTAGTGGTTAATTGCTGTACAAGATGCAGACTTGAGATCCTATTTACAAACACCATTAGAACAAATCATTCTATTCATTAAGAGAATGTAACTATATATCTATCCTAACCACTTTGAATACACAGATACAAAATGGACATTCATTATTTTTATTTTTTAATATTAATTTTATTGAGAAAGAAACAGCATTGAGACAGTTTCAAAACAGGTTAGTAGGACAGTTATAACAATACATTGCATATTATTATCTTCGTAGTAGTTATTCATAGTACAAGATGCAGGTATGATATCTTGTTTAAATACTATTAGTACAAATCTCTCTTCTCATTGAACTAAGAGAAAGTAGCTGTATACCTATCCTAACTATTTTGTATACACACACACACACACATACACACACACACGCACACATATTTTTTCTCTACAAAATGGTCCTTTTTTTTTTGCGGAACTGGGGATTGAACTCAAATCCTTGTGCTTTGGTCCTTCATTTATAGCCCTCTTTTTTGTTTACTTTTGTCAGTGATGGGTATTCCATTGCCATTCAAATATCATAGGTGTGTGAATCCAGTCCAGGCCTGGCATGTGAGTGAGACCGTCCGCCCTGCTCTCAGGACCCCGCCAGACTCAGCCCAGGCCCCCAGGCCCGGCATGAGTGTGGGACAGCTTCCACTCTGCTGTGCCCGCCAGATCCCTCCGGACCCAGCCCAGGCCTGGTATACAGGCCTGGTGTGAAACTCTGCAGCTGAAGTCCCTGCAGAGAGGATAGGGGCCAGAACCACTCAGCTAATCCAGGAACAGAACATCTTGCCAGAGGGGCATAGCAGGTTCACTTCCATGGGCTGCTGCAGGAAGAATCTGAGCAAAGCAGCCAGACCCAAGCCAGGCACATCAGGATGAATTCAAGCTTCATAGATTCGCATCCAGTTAGCTGAGGCACTTTGTTAAACTCAGATCTATAAGAGCATCCTCCCTCTTTCTCTTTTGCCTGAGAGAAGGGGGCAAAAGGTAACCGGGGTGAACTAGTCTGACTGGAAGACACCAGGTACATCAAGGGGAGGTGATCAGGCAGAACTGATGTGAACTTAAATACAAACTCCCAATTTAATATCTGCTTAGCTATTCAGACATACTGCTTACTTTTACTGTCTAAAATATAAACCCACTAGTTACAAAAGTTTGTCCACTGCTAAATATCACTACCCCTTATTAGTGTTCCTAATTGTAGTTCTGTAAATTCAAAACTATAACTGCCTTAACCATATAATCTCTCTTGGGTAAGAATTTCGGTAGGTGCTAAGGTTCTAACTACACCAAGCTCTACACCAAACGTCATATACATGTGCCAAACACCCACAATGAGTGTAATCATATGATGTAAACATAAACTAAAAATAATATAACAATATTCATAAGGAAACTGGGGAAAGTGAGTTTGGATATAGAGGGAAGGAGGTGGGTGGGAAGAGGAAAGGATTATATTCAAGAACAACAGGTAGAATCTCTGCAAGAAAACAGGAGGAACAACACAATTTTAATGTTAAAACAGGTCAGAAAGATCACAGGTTGACAGTAGACTACTGCAATAGAGTCACAGAGTACTACACCATTTGAAAGGAATGGGCTTCCCCAAAGAAAATATGTTCAATGCTTCAGAATTAATTATGTTATTTTTGAGACAGAGCCTCAGCTCTCTATGTAGCCTCAGCTGCCTCAAACTCCCAAGGGCTAGGATTACGGCTTGTGCCACCACACTGGCTCCGAAACTCATTTTTAAAGCACAGAGCCCTGGGAGTGAAAGACAGCAAGCAACACTTATCAGGGCATCAGCCTTTTTTAAAAACTAATTTTACTGAGAAAGAAATAGCAATGAGACAGTTTCCAAACAGGTTAGTAGGGCAGTTACAATAATTAATACATTGCATAGTCTTGTCTTCATAGTGGTTATTCATAGTACAAGATGCAGATATGATATACTGTCCAAACACTATTAGTACAAATCTTTCTTCTCATTGAATTAAGAGAAAGTAGCTGTATATCTATCCTAACTATTTTTTACATACAGATAAAAAATGGTCCTTCATTTATATCCCCTTTTTTTGTTTAGTTTTGTCAGAGATGGGTATTCCATTGCCACTTAAATATTGTAGGTGCGTGATTTCAGCAAAATAATTCAATATAGTCCAGTAGTCCATAATAGTACTGGGTTATCTGTAGGACTGGCCATGTCAGAAGTTGTTGACTTGAGCCTTTTATAGCTCAGCATATTAATATAGCTTTAATTTTTTTTTCCATTGTCGGAACTCGGGATTGAACTCAGGCCCTTGCACTTGCCAGGCAAGCACTTATTGTGCTGAGCTATCTCTCTGGCCCTGGCTTTACTTTTTATACCTTATTTTTATACTTTTCTGCTAGATGGTTAAAACCAAGATAAAGCAACACCTATATAACAAGAAATGTAACTTTTGTATCTGACAAGGTCAGTCAAGTCCCCTCAAGATTTACCCTGAAACCTTTTTTTTTTTAAAGACACATTTATTCAGTGTCATGATCAGACTA